TCTACATGTGTATATAGAATGTATATAATTATGGTATATTATTGACTATAACCCATTATAGTGAAACATATGTGAGAGAATGTGCTGGTGTGCATGTGTGTGCCACTGCTCTCCGAAGCCATGTTGGTGTTTATCTGTTGACTTGGTCACAGATGATCTATCTCACACGAAGACCAGCTCCGTAGCAACTGAGACCTTTTCAATCTCTAGCCACTGTATCTGCAATTGGAAGAAAAGGACACTGAGGTAGTGAGGATGGGTTTGTGAAGGACCTAAGTAAGATGAATGCTTCCTTGGTAGTATTTTTCAATGTAAATGTATACTTATTTACATTGTAAATAAATGTATAATAAAAGTGGTAATACCGTAGCATATATATCATAGTTCCATTTTTTTTTTTGTCTTTTTCCTTTTTATCGGTACCAGGGATCGAACTCACGACTGCCTGCTTGCAAGGCAGGCGCTTATGCCACTGAGCTAAATCCCCAGCCCCATAGTTCCATTTTTGAAAATTTATATTTACATTTATTTTTTAAGGCTAGTCATCTGTAGCTTCTGAAATTATGGATGCTTTATCATTTTTGATGTATTAGTATTGTTTTGCAGAGTAAAAATGAATTTTTTGGCTAAGAATTATAATAATTAACATTTATAATAATTGTCTTATTACATAGTTATTGAGTAACATAACAGAATTCATACTCCCTATAATACTGTAAAAAAATTTTTTTTAAAAATTTTATTTAAAGAAAGACTAAACAAAACAGAAAATAGGTAGAAATAATACATGCATTCAGAGAAAAAATAAACAGTAAGAAATCACTGGTTGATATTTACATATTGTCATTTTACAAATAGTTATTCAAGATACAAAAATGGAACATGTAAAGTGAGAATTCAAATAGCGAGACTGCAAACAGTTCTGTTCAACTGTTCAATAAAAACTTAGAAATATGGTTATCAATCCTATACACTTAAACATACATGCAGTTATCCATATCTTCAATTGTGTTGAGAAAGAAAAAACCCAAGCAGGCTAATATCACTCTGAACAGAGAATAATACTATTGCTGGGTTTCACATTATGACACACCAGAGTCAGCACTGGGTTCTTTAGTGACTCTTTTTCCTCAAAGTATCTGTTCATTTCATCATGTGTCATAAGATCAGCTCTCATAAACTGTTTATAGATTCTACACATGCATGAGTCTTAGCATGTATTTCTGTTCTTTCTATATTAGAGGTAGAAGCGAAACAAAGCAAGACAGAACAAAACATATTCCTATAAACACATGAAACAAAAAAGACATATAAGACCATTGTGCAAGGACTTCTACCATAGTTCCTGTGTTGTCTCTTGTTATCTTCAATAGAACTGGCTATATCATCAGACATAGTATAACTGAATATATCATTATATAACAAATACTGTAAAAATTAAAATAAAGGTTTTGGAAAGTGGGAAAAATTTACAATGATCAAAATTATTTATATGTAGTTAAGATTCTATCCAATAACTGTTCCAGCAAAACAGTATCATAGGAACCTTTAATGGACAGAGTGATATGTATTAACAAATATATTGTTACAGAATGCATCTAAATTCAACTACTTATACTGTGTTCTGAAGAATAATTGCAGAAAAGTTATGTATTATTTATATTTTCATGATCAAATAGTCAAGCTGTGAAGAAGTACCATTAGGACACTGCTATGGTAGTTTTACATGTAATAACTAACTTTACAAAAGCAATTTGACACTCATTTATTTAAGCCCATTATGTTTACATTTGGCACAAGGTGCTAGGGCTATGACTATAGGTAAGACATAAACTTTCTCTGACAACATCTAGCCATTATCTAGCAGGAGACAGAAAAAGATATTAAAAATTTTATGATGTTTTATTAAAAACTTGATATTTCAAAGAAATTACCAGCATATTGTTAGACAAAGTGCCATAGGAGAATAGAGGCAGCTGTGATGAATTCAACCTTATGCGGTGTCTTGGTTACTTTTCTCGTTGCTGAGACAAAATACCTGACATCCCAAATTAAAGGAGGAAAGGTTTATTTAGTTCACAGTATACAGAAGTTTCAGTCCATAATCCAAGGCAGCATGACACATAGAAAAGGGGCAACAGTTCATGGTGGAGAAGAATCCAAAAGAAACAGGAAAGGAGCAGAAAAGCCTCCTTTGTCCCTTATATTGTATGCAGACTACACACTGTAGGGCAGGAGTAGCACTCACTGGTAATCCCCACACCACATACTCTAGATTCAGCCACCTCTAAAAAAGCCCTCAGGCCAAATGATGCTTTGAAGGGACATCTGGACACAAACCACAATGTGTGGGATGAAGAGGCTTTATTAAGAAATTAAAATTAAAACTGTTCCTTGAAGAATGTATTGATTTACTAGGTGAAGACTGAAGCAGAATAGTGAAAGCAGAAGAAGTGGAAAGGTGTAACGCGTATCTTAGGTCACTGGCTATGCAGACATATGAGTATGTGTATGTGTGTGGATAAGTTCCTATCAGAGACTACTTAAGAGGGTGTGAAAGATGGATAAGTTAGCAAATGAGAACATTTAGCTATGCAAGTACAAAACAGAAAAGGCTAAAAAAAGACTTGAAATCTGAAAATTGTAATTCTGAAGATAGAAATAGATGATTTTTTCACTTAAACTCTGCAACACCTGCTGAGTTCCTCTGTGTGCCTTTATAGCTATTGTTTCATTTAGCTCTTATCTCTACTCCAAGAGCTTGATTATTCTCAATTTATACCCCAGGAAGTGAAGCTTCAGAAAATGCTCTAATTTGTAGAATGACGAAGTTCGGCATTCAGATTTACTCAAGGTTCAGCTAACTCCCAAAGTGTTATTTGCTCTCTCCCCATTTTACCATTGTGTCTTTTTAAAATTTTACTTAAAGAAAGACTAAACAAAACAGAAAATGGGTAGAAATAATACATATATTCAGAGAAAAAATAAACAGTAAGAAATCACTAGTTGATATTTACATACTGTCCTTTTACAAATAGTTGTCCAAGATACAAAAGTGGAACATATAAAGTGGGAATTCAAACAGCAAGACTGCAACCAGTTGTGTTCAACTATCCAACAAAACTTAGTAATATGGTTCTCAATCCTATACACTTAAACATACATGCAGTTATCCATATTTTCATTATGCTGGGATTAAACAAACTAAAGCAGGCTAAAGTCATTCTGTCTTTCCAGCCTATCCGCAAATACTGGTCTAGTTGCCCCTATTACTCTCTGGTTCTCTTCACATAGAGCATTGTTTTCTCATTTTTGATTTTTCAGTCCATGTACTCTTTTTCATGTTAATTATATTTCATATAAATAGCAACTCAGTGGACCCTGCCTCCTCATCTACTCCACGTGTGGTTCTTTTTTTTTAATTTAGTGTATCAAGGCCATCTATATTAGAAATTATAATCAACCTTCTCTGCCTCATTTCTGTTATTCTCTTTTTTTGCCCTCAGTTGTCTTCTTTGTTCTGTTTTTCGCTCCATTCATTGAGGCTTCTCTGCCACTGTTCCTGGAATCCTAGCATTTTTCTCTCTTTCTAGAATGTCCTGCAGTATTTTCTGTAGAGTTAGATTGGTGGTTGTGAATTTCCCAAGATCCTCTTTGTCCTAAAAGCAGTTGTTTCTCCATTAATTTCTAGAGACAGTTTAGCAGGGTATGTCAATCTGGGTTGGAGGTTATTTTCTTTCAGGGCTTGGAATATTTTGCTCCAGGCTCTTCTTGACTTGATAGTTTGTGTCCAGAAGTCTGCCATTATTCTGATGGGCCTTCCTTTTTAGGTTGTCTGTTCCTTGCCTCTAACAGCTTTCAATGTTCTGTTATTATATTGAATTTCTGGGATCTTGATTATTATATGCCTGGGTGTAGCTCTGTTTTGGTTGTAGGTGGCTGGAGTTCTGTATGCCTCATATATCAGAATATCATTTCCTTTTCTTAGGTTTGGGAAGTTTTCCTTAATTATTTCTGTGAATAGCCTTTGTATGTACCCCTGCTTCTTCATTCACATTTTTTATTCTCAAGTTGTAGATCTTCTTGTTGCCTTCTAGCCTTTGTATTGTTACTATTTGTTTCCTTGTTATTTTTTAAAAGTTTTTCCTTTCAAAAATCCCACATTGCAAAACTGCCCTCCAATTTGGATAATCTATCCTTAGTGTCTTTCAAGCTGATTTGCCATCTTTCATAGTTTTTAATTTCCAGGTAATCTCTTTGAATCTGCTTAATGTATTCTTCATCAAATGGTTCTCTCCTTTGAGTTCCTCCCTTCTCCTGTCTGTGTCTGCTTGAGGGGTACTTAGCATCTCTTTTATTAATCTTGTTATACCTTGCTTTACTTGGCAAAATATTTCACTTTTGAACTCATCTATGAGGTTCTGAAGATATCTCTTTATGTCCACTGGTGCTGTGTCTGATGTTGCATGTTTCCTGTTCTCATTCTCGTTTGTATTTTTACCTGTCCTGGGTTGATGTTCTCAGGGTTGGGACCTGGGGACTTTTTGTTGTTGCTTCCTTTTCCCATCTTTTCTGATTCTTCCAAGAGGCCCCAGTTTCTCTCTTTGTTGGTTACAATTCTTCTGAAGCACGCTGGCTAGGTGCTTCTCACTCCAGTGTGCTAGTGAGTTGTAGACAGGGGCAGCATACGCTGGCCCCTGCCCTTTGGATCAGTCAAGCTGCTGAGACTTGCACTGTATTACTATGTGCCACCTCCCCTGCAGATCAGTCGAATTTTTGAAGCTTCACTATGTTAGTGTCCACTGTCATAGGGAATTGATTTCAGATAATCTATTAGGTCTCACCCAGGCCTAGCTCACTCCACCAATCCCATTCAGGAAGGTAACAACTGACTGAAGTCACTGCTGCCCCTTGTACTTGCCAGTCCTGCCAGGTCCCAGAATGTCGTCCGCCGGAGCCCCCCTTTCTGTGGAACGGCTCCACTCTCATTACTCACCACAGGTCGATGCAGGCTCCCTGCCAGCTCAGCTCTCCTTTTGGCTGGCTGACCCCTGATCTCAGTGTGACTGCATCTCCAGTGAATCGAAGCGGTGGGACTTCAGATGGCTTGGTAAGTTGCCCGCTGTGGCGGGAGCACTCAACCTTAAGCTATTTCAATAATAGCACTGGGACTGTAGGTTTGATTGGTTCTTCTCATCTTAGTTTCTTCTTGGGATAAGAGAATTCATCTCCCTCTGTTTGGAGATCCCCATGCTGTGCTATGTTGAATTCTAAGCTGACTATCTCAGGGAGCCTCTGTAGCCAGTTCTTATCTATCCACCATCTTTTTCCACTGTGTCTAACTGAAATACTGACATAATTACCATATTCCAACAGCTAGTGGCACATGTTCACACCCCCTCCCTATACATGCAGACCACCAAATGGCTCAGCACATTGTAGATGGGAACAAACGGAATGAGATACATGTGTGAAAACTTTCAAATTGAAATTCTCTATCCAGCATTCCTTTTGGGGCTGCTACTGTGATGAGATTGTAGTGATTTGTAGCTTGGAAAACCTCACTGCTTTCCTACTGTAGCCGACAGCTGTCAGGATATGGCAGGGTCTCTTGAACTGGCAAAAAAACCCCAGAAAACAAAAAACAAAAACAAAACCAACCAAAAAAAATAAATCTCCAAAGCCTCATTATCTGCAGCACAAAAATTCACAGAAAGATATTTATCCTCTGGTGGTGATGCCACTGGTGTTTCAGACAGTAAGGGCAGCTTCCGCTAAGTGTGGGTCAGACAAGCTCTCTGTGTTGCCTGCCTGGGCCCGTGTTTGCTGGCTAGAATAAAGTCATTCATCCTAGATGGTTGTGCAGTTGAAACAACCTGAAGCATAAAGATGTCACTTGAGTTTCCCTGCTTTCCTCTTTTCTTCTGTGCTCTCTGCCATGAGGCTTGAATTGTACTACTTCATTTGGAGAGATGAATGCCAGCATCTGCCAAGACATTAAGATACTGTATCCTGCTTCTTATAAAGAGCCCATTCTGTTCAGATGTTTCAGCAAAAATTCCTGCTTTCTTTTCTCATCATTCTGGCTGTGATTTTAGGAGGGTGCTTGTTTTCTCTTGTGGTGGTGCTTTTTTCTCTCCTTTTCATACAGACAGACTGATCTGTTTTATGTAAAATATGATCATATTATCCCATTGCTTAAAATTGATGCAAATGAAATTTATCTTTCAATACTCAGGCCACGTTTCTTTCCTAGCAAGGAGAAAAGCACTTTCTGGTTCAGTTGAACCCTGGATAGGCATTTATTCTAAGATTAAATTCATTTAATTGGGCCCATCGATATTTAAGTAGTTTTTTTTTTTAGCAAGTTATGATTCATAAATTGGTCAGCACCAGATCGAAAGTGCTCCATTGGAGATCAGGAAGGGAAGCAAAAGGGGAAACTTTTATGAGAAAAAGTATTCATGGAAGCAATATAGAAAATTATATTTTAATGGCTCAAGTGGGAAGTCTCTGGACTTAGATCAGTTTTTTGTTTCCCATTGGTTAACCATAAGTTTCTTTTTTTTTTTAAATTTTATTTAAAAGGAAAAGAGAAAAACACAAAACAAAACAAAGCGGTGTAAGGGTACACGTAATACAGAACTACAAAAAAAAAAAAAAGACAGTAAGAAATCACCAGTTAATAGATTACATATTATCATCTTAGAAATAGTTGCTCAAATCACAGTATCAAAGAATACAAAGTGGACATTCAAACAGTGAGACTGCAAACAGTTGTGTTCAACGATTCAACCAAAAACATTAATATGGTCAGCTATTTAACACCCTTAAACACACTTGCTGTTGTATCCTTTAGAGCTCTTTTTCCCCCTCTTTTTTACAACAAAATTTACACATTTTGGGTTTTATTACTCCTTAGTTCTTATTACTTTTTTGGGGGGAGAGAATAAAGTCAAATATGGCAAAACAAAGCTGTCAGTCAAAACCAAGGATAGACATAGCACATGATGTAAAACAGAGTACAAGGTTATCAACAATGGTTTTCAACAATGTCTCTTGTTTCCTTAAAAAGAATTGTCTATCTCATTAGATATTATAAAGTTGAACAAAACAGTAGAGAACAAGACCAATAAAACTTAGGCATTGTAAACATTACAGGACTTCCAACGAGACGATAGTCAAACCAGCATGGGCATCTTAGTGAATCTTATTGTAACCATAAGTTTCATTTCACTGTTTCTATTGGGCTTAAGTTTCCTTAAATATCTGGATTCAGATATTTCAGCCCTAATGGTCTCACAACTGAAATTTTTGAAGTAAATGATGTTTGCTGTTTTTTTTTTTTTTTTCATTTCTTTCCTTTTCTAGTTGCTGTTTAAGTTCAGGAGCTATGTCTCATAAAATCTCATGAAAACTTGTCTCATGGTTTGCATCATAAAAGATCAGTGGAAAATATTAAACAAATTAGTTAAATGTGGGTTATTAAATTACAAATGGATGAATAAGAATTGTAAAATCTTAAGAAGTTTAAATATCAAGGATTTGGAAGCAGAGGTTATCTAGATATGCTAGCATCTGATAAGAACAATGAAAATTATGTAGGTTTTTTGAAAAAAATAATATGTAGAAACAGCCTCTGATATAGCCTTTCCATGTCTATAGACAATGCTTGGTATCCATATAAACTCATGGAGTATCTCCTGTGTCATCAGTCTGCAAGCAAATGATGTTGTACAGTGATGAAATGGGTACAAAATAAGAACCAAAAAAAGCATAATTAATAAATAAAATGGTGTGTTGGTATTCTTATTTACCTTAAGCTTAGTGAAAAGATCTTGTTGTATGGGTAACAGAACTTTTAAAATCTATTTTTCTTAAGATAGCCAAATAATTTGAACTAACTTTACTCTGAGGTTTTCAGGAGTAGTGGTTTACTTCAGAAAAACCAAAGTCATTCAGTAATATTTTATAGAACTCTCTGAATTGCCTTTTCTTTATTCTGCAGGAGTCTTTATGAGAAATTTAAAAACTTTCTTTAGGAAGAAAAACCAAAATTTTCTTGCATTTGAATAGGAAAAAAAATAATGTGATAATCAAATATTTTATATTACTTGCTCTTTTTCCCATTATCTGCAGTTGCATATTCTGGAATTTTAGTTACTCATGAGCAACTGGGGCCCAGAACCTTTATTTGCAAAATTTTAGAAATAAACAATTTACATATGTGAAGTTGTACAGTGTTTTGACTAGTGTGCTGAAATTCTGCATAATTCTCTATCTTGCCTGAATGGGAATAATCCTTTCATCTATTGCATCTGTAACATGTATGCTACTTACCCAGGTGTTACTGAGTAGCCTTTTTGGTTCAAATCAACTGTGGTAGCATCTTTGTACTTGTGTTCAAGTAACCTTGGCATAGTAGCTTAAGGCTATGTCACAATTTCTGTCATTTTCCTAATTTTAACTCATTACATAGATAGAATATCATCCCATGTCATCACAAGGAGGGTAAACATCGATAAAACTTTTTTTTTCTTTGGTACCAGGGATCGAACATATGACTTCGTGCTTTCCAGGCAGGCACTTAGGCCCCTCAATAAAACATTTTGAGAGAAAGAGGCACCACATTCACGTAACAATTGTCAGTATGCTGATACATTATTCTATTTCATTGTTAGTTATCATAGTTACTGTAATTACTTAACTTATAAGTTAAACTTTATCATAGATATACATATATAGAAATACTCCATATATGTGGTTTGGTAGTCTTTAGTTTTAGACATTCACGAGGAGTATTGGAATGTACCTCTGTGGAAAGTGGCGACAATGGTAATAGAATTTTCCACTTAATGATCTTAAATATTAGCTTCAACTAATAACAAACACGTAACCCTATCAGTGTGATAGAGTATATTGGAAAACTTCATAATAAATACTCAAAAGGTATTGACTGAAAGTTGAATCACTTTTAAATGTCACAAATTGTGTGTCTAGGTAATATTTCTCATGGAAAATAACTCCCAGAGAGATATGTGTGGTTTGATAATTGATATTTATTCAAAAGTTTCTTTTTAATTATAATTTGAATAATTTAAAAAATTCTTTTCTAATTTAGAGATAATATTTCACATTTCATTATTGATCTTTTATTTTTCAGCTAATTTTGTAGAGCAAAGTAAGTAGAGCTATTTTCTGCCTAAATTAATCCGGATACTGAGGAGATGGTTTTATCATTAGGCAATGGGGACTGGTAGAAACAGACACACTCCCTGAGTCAAACAGTCCCTAAAAGAACCATTTATAGAAAATAATAGGATCAATTTTATATCAGATACCACAATGTTTGTTGATATGAATGTTTTTGTTTAAAAAAAAATGAAAAATCAATTTTAAAGCTTAGCTTACTTATCCTAAGATATCACATCTTGTTTGTTCCTTAAACATAAGACCACTAAGTCCAGCTGCTCAACTGCCCTTTCTTCTGTGGCTCAGTCTCAACACACAAAACTAATAAGTTAGCTCCCAAAGTGATTCTCTGTCAGATTCTCTGTTAGGCTAGAACTGTATGCATTAACTTACACGTGCATTTCTTGTTTTTCTATCTACACATTTAGCTTACCACCTGCAAAAATCCTACTAAATATCACTGAACTATTTTCTCATTTTGCTGCCACTGTCATCTTAGTACCTGCCCCCATGACCTATTTTCTAGGACAGACTGTGAAAATGGCCTCCTCACAGGTCGTCTACTTTATCTTTGGGCTTTCTCCAGATCATTGTACATATTGTAGCTCTTTTTCTGGTGTCAAACTAAATTATACCATTTTCTTTCTCAAAATCTTCCAGTAATTTTCAATTATTTTAAGGTTAAAAGTGACCAAAATAGATTGCAAAATCCTAAGTATTCTGTCCCGTCTTCCTCTTCAAACTCCCTTGTGCCCACTCTCATTTCTTCAGTATCATAGCTTTCTTTCAGTTCCTCACTTAAAAACTCCCTCTCTACCATCAGTGGGATTTTGCAGTTGTTCTCTTCTTTTCTGGAAAACTCTTGTTTCTCCTAGTCACCTGATAAACTAGCATTCTTCCTTCAGATTTCAACTAAGC